CGCCTTCTCACCGTGTCCGCACTTGGTCTGAGCGCCTCTGGGTCCCTTGTGTGCCTTCCTGTCTCCCCCAAAGGCTGCATTTTAACATCATCCCCTCTTCCAAGGTCCCGTCTGCAAATACGGTCGCAGTCTGGGGTCCTGGGAGGCAGGGCTTCACAGAGGACTTGGGGGGACCGCAGGTGAGCCCCTAACAGGGCCCGCTCCCTCTGCACACCGAGCGCCTCTCCTCCTCCGTGTGTTCGTTGGAAACTTGCTTGTCCCTTGGCAGAAGCCTGTCAGCTTTGCACCAACAGACGTGAGTGAGGTGGGCTGCCTTCCAGCAACATAAACTGGGTAAAGTTCTCTTCTGATCAGTTAGCCCAGTGTAACACGTCCCTCGTGGCTGCGGAACCCTGTGCCTCAGTTTCTCACCTGGAACATGGGGTAATAGCACCTACCCAACAGACTTATTTTGCGGATTACGTGGAATGAGGTATTAGATACTCCACACGGGCGCCTTGCGTGTAGCAAACGCTCAGTAAACATTAGCTGCTTTTCTTGTTACCGCGATGATCAATGGTATCATTTTCGTGCAGGGTAAAGACTAATCTGAAAAAAGGTAACACGTAGCTTGAGAATTGGATGCAAAATATCCCTATAGGCTGTTTATTTGTTGCCAAATCTGAGGGTGGGGGTGGACAGAATTTTAACATCCTTCCCTCTAGCTCTTGGGGGGAAAAAAGGGAAGAGTTTACCATGAATGTTGGTGATATTTAAATAAGATTGAATTCATACAGCATTCAAACAGCAAAGAGGAATGGCATTAAATTCACAGAGGTGATGGACTGTGCATAGCGGGAGTTGGAGTTGACTACGTCCTCACGGTGGCCCGGTGCCGCGGGCTGGAAGCCGACTCTGAAGGAGGGTCTCGGGTCTCACCAGAGCGTCCCCTCAAACCTTCAGCACCGTGCCGGGGTGGCTCAGAGGCAACGGGCGGGTCTTGTCCGCCCACCTGGACCGTTCATCTGGCGATGGCCAGGGCGAGGGAGAGAAGAGGGGCCCAAGGACCGGAGAGGCACGTTCCTCTGGGACCAGGCGGGCCCTGGAGGGATGAACCCGGGGTCTTCCCAAGTCAGGGTCGGCCCAGCCGCGGGTCAGGCTCCCTGGAGACGAGGGTGGGCCAGCGCCTCGTGCGGGAGGCTCAATGAGAAAAGCCCTAGAAGTAAGGCCTGTTTGGGGAGGGGGGAAGGTCAGAGCCGGGAAAGCATGCGCAGGTGTGAGTTAGTTTCCCATGGACGCTCTGACCGATGACCACAAGCTGGCTGTCTTACAACAGGCGTGCTGTCCTCGCGACTCTGGAGGCCAGAAGCCTGAATCATGTCCCCTCCAGGGCAGGATCTGCTCCTGAGTGCTCCTGGGGCTCGGGGCAGCCGGCGCCCAGGCACACGTGGCCAGTCCCTGCTGCGTCGGCCTCAGCTACACATGGCCTCCTCGTCTCTGTGCCAAATCCTCCTCTGTTTCTCCTTATAAGGACACCGATCGCATTTGCAGCCTACCCCAAAATCCGGGATAATCTCGTCTCAGAATCCTAAACTGAATTACGTCTGCCATGTGAATCCCCCTCCCTGTCCTCTGTCTCCCTCTCCCTCCCTCTCTCTAGGGTGTTTTTACACCCCCTTTTCTGCTTACTCTGGACGGGCTGGATGGCACTTAGAAGCCACCAGGGACGGCGAGAGCCAGCAAGGGGGAAGCCCCCGGACTTGCAGCCCAAGCTCACTCGCGGGCACTCCCCAAAGTATCCCTGACACCCCCAGGCTGGAGGCCCCTCCCCATGCGAGAATGGCAACAAGTAAGGCCCGGTGGTACCATAGTCCCCAGGCCATGAGGTTATGAGCATCAGTACCCCCGGCAGGTGTCATACCCCCTAAGTCCCCAGCACATAGGATCCGGAAGCCCAACATATGTGTTTTTAAGTTTATTTATTTGAGAGAAAGGGAGTGGGAGCACGGGAAGGGCAGAGAGAGAGGGAGAGAGAGAATCCCAAGCAGGCTCCACACTGTCAGCGCAGAGCCCGACGCAGGCCTCGAACTCACAAACCGTGAGATCATGACCTGAGCCGAGACCAAGAGTCGGATGCTTGCCCGACTGAGCCCCCCAGACGCCCCTGGAAACCCCTTTCACATACCACCAGCCCCTTCCCCTGTGAGATCCCATTATACACTACGTGATCCCCCCACCCTCCCAAACTGTCCCCCAGGGTGAAGCCTGCAAGGCCGTGGGTCACTCCTCCCTGATCTTTACTTCCTTCGCACGGTTTCCATCACTAGAAAGCCATTAGCATGAGGTGGGGGAGGGGGTCCCCTAAGTTGGTCATAAAGGAAAGATCCGAGTTTATAACCAAGACCTCTGGCCCCCACTGCAGGCCCCAATTGCACTCGCGGCTCATTTTGTGTTCTCAAGAATTAGGATCTTCCCAGATACCTGCTCATGATCTCCTCCGCCTTCGTGTGCCTTCCTCGCCCTGCCCAGCTCACTAAACCCGTTAATTTGGTGCGTAACGGAACCCAGGGGATCAGGGACTCCACACAGGAGAGCTGCGCTTTGCCACCCAGGCCGCCTGTCCCTGCGGCTTTGTCGGGGGCTGTCGCAGGCGCTCGGGGGCACCCCGGCTGGAGTCACCACCTCCAGCACCCTCGGCGCCACAGAGACGGGCAGGGAGCCCTAGACGGCCCCTCGGGAATTGAGTGCTGCTCACAGCTCATTGTCAACCCAGTCCCCTCCCTGTCCCGCTCATGAACTAGGAGGGCAGCCCCACTGTGTGCCTGAAGGAGGGCCAGACGCCGGCGGTAAGCTCTCCGCTCACTGCCTCCGTGCCGACTCTGGCCGTGTGCAGAAAACCAGAGAACGGTGGGGCGGAGATCACAGACCCTCCAGTCAGACATGTTTCGTGTTTTTGTTACTTGCCATAAACACTTTATGCTTGCACGTACCCATGCACATATATGCACACACCTGCACCTGCACACACACATTACACATGCATTCCCACATGGGTACGCATCCACACACGGACACACACAACATGTATGCTCACACATGCACGTGTATGCACGCACACGCACCCACACACACACATGCATGCACATGCACATTATACACATATATGCACACATGTATGTACACACGTGTGAGCACACAAGTACATGTACACACAAGTGCATGCACACGCGTGCACCTATGCACACGTGCACATTCACATGTGTTCTCACACGTGCACACATGTGTGCACACACATGCATCTATACATGCACATTATACATGCATTCCCACACGGGTACACATACACACACATGTATGCTCACACATGAACGTGTATGCACGCACATGCACCCACACACATGAATGCACATGCACATTATACACATACATGCACACATGTATGTACACGCATGTGGGCACACAAGTACACATGCACACACGTATTCACATGCATATGTGCACATAAGTACATGCACATGCGTGCACCTGTACGCATGTGCACATACACATGTATTCTCATGCATGCACCCATGTGTTCCCACACAAGTACATGCACACACAGGCACCTATACACGCACATTATACATGCATGCCCACACGGGTACACATACTCACACGGACACACAACATGTATGCTCACACATGCACATGTATGCACGCACATGCACACACACATGCATGCACATGCACACTGTACACACATGTCTGTACACACGTGTGGGCACACAAGTATATGTGCACACATGCACCTATACACACCCCCTTTTCTTAGTACTTTGAGGAATAAACACTGAATTTCACAACAAAACAGAACTCTAAGACCTAGCCCTAAGTTCACAATCTACCCCGGCACCTGCTCCCACCTTCCACAGGAGGCTCTTGGTGGCGGCCCCGCCTGAGATGCTCTCCCATCTCCCCCCCGCCCCCCCCCCCAGACCTCGTCCGGCAGGAGGGCCGGGAAGTTACATTCATGAAATGGCCGGTTTCCCCGAAAACAAGTCTTACAACCCGACCTTCCCCCCACCTCCTTCTCTCTCTCTCCCTTCCTCCCTCTCTCCCCCCTCCCTCTTCCCCTACCTCTCCTCTCTGTCTCAGTCCCCCTCCCTCCCTCTGCCTCCCCCAGTCAGCTCATCTGTGACAGTTCAGCCCAGTTTTCTGGAACCCTTGAAAGAGGAAAAGCCTGAGATTACGGGCTGAGGGCAAGAAGAGCCGTGGCCAGGCCACGATGGTGACCAAGCCGCCAAGCTGCTCCGTTCGGCCTTCGGATCGGATTTAAGTCCTTTTGCTAATGGCAGATACTTAGGATGACAACCTGGTCTGACTCATGTAAACGGGCCGGAGTCCGCGTGTCCCTTCAGAGCCGGTGATCGTCGGCGGCCGCGGAACCCCTCGGCGCCCCTCGGTGCCTTTGTGTCCCCGCTGCCTCACCGCGGAGATGAGCGGGGCCTTCCCTGGAAATGCTTTTTATGATGTTCGAACAACCTGATAGTTTCTGCTTTGCTTTCCTCGGGCCCTTCGGGCAGGGATGCTGCACTTGTAGGAGGAGGCAGCAGGGCGGACGGGGTGGGGAGGGGGTGTCCAGGCTGTGCGTTTCCAGCTGCGTGTAGTTTCTAGCAGGGTAGTTTCAGCGAAACCTAGCCTCCGCCTGACCCCAGGAGGTGCTCGGGGTGGTGGCTGTGTGCACAGCGGGTCCTTTCACCAGGCAAAGCGGGGGGTCAGCAGGCCCAGAGGAGGGTGGGCAGCACGCGGCACCCGGGTAGCTGAGGGCACGGCTCCCGACACCCAGTGGCCACCTGACAGAAGAGGTGCAGCGGGACAGAGGCAGCAGGGCACCTGTGTTGGCACCTGTGTACGAACCAGTATGGCTTATTCCTCAGAGAGTGAGGGCACCTCCCCCGCCTCCTCCGCCTTCTCCGCTGTTCCTTTGGCGATGAGATACCATGAGAACTGCCATGCCTCCCACCCCTCTGTCCTCTTCGCAGGTGTCGGACCGCTGTGACTACGTCTTTGTCAACGGGAAAGAAATGAAGGGCAAGGTGAACGTGGTGGTGAACTTCACCTACCAGCACCTGAGCAGCCCTCTGGAGATGACGGTGTGGGTGCCCCGGCTCCCGCTGCACATCGAGGTCTCGGACACCGAGCTCAACCAGATCAAGGGCTGGAGGGTGCCCATCGTCTCCAACAAACGGTGGGCGTGCTAGTCAGGACTCCACATTAGAGACCCACGCCAAACAGGCTTTGGCTAAAAATGGAACTTTGCAGGGTAGCTAATTTCAGGCCCGAGTGGACCCGGGGATCCCTTACGGGTGGAATCTCTCCCTACCTCTCAGCCTGGTTTGCTATGTGTTGGCCCCGTATTCTTTTTACGTGAGGCTCCAGACTTGCACTCCACCCACAGAAGGTGCATCCTTCTCCTCCCCAGTGGCTCCAGCAGAAGTCCTGGGGTTAGGCTATCCTCCCTTGGCTGTGTGCCTGTCCCTGATCCAGTCACCGTGGCGAGGACACGGAATACACTGCCTGGTGAGGCCTCATCCACAGTCCCCTGGAGGAAGAGGTCAACCCTGCCTGAACCAATGGGCTGATACCAGAAGGAGGGGACCTGGGAATACATTCTGGCTGGACCTGGGCAACCTCTCCGTGCCCCCAGCCCAGAAGCTCTCAGATTGCTTGGTCCTGGGGAGATGAAGTCAGAGCCTGTGACCTGCATGCCTGGCCCTTTGTGCTGATGGTGCCTGATAGGGTGATAGGTCTTCTTTTTTTTCTTTAGTTTATTTATTTTGGGGGGAGGGGGATGGGGAGGAGCAGAGAGAGAGGGAGAGAGAGAATCCCAAGCAGGCTCCACACTCGGCACAGACGATCCCACAACCGTGAGATCATGACCTGAGCTCAAATCAAGAGTCAGATACGTAACCAGCTGAGCCCCCCAGGCGCCCCAGTGACAGGTCCCCTCTGTCTGCACTGGGCACCAGATACCAAGAGAGTTGCAAGAGGTCAGGCTCTTTGTTCAGGGACTTTGTCACCTCGGAGAAACCCGTGCCTGAGGACTCGCATGCCGGCGACCTACAGAAAGTCAAAAATGAGTGTGCGCGGAATTAGAGGAGGAGGAAGCTCTCCTGGTGTCTGTGTGCTCAGCGGGGCAGGAGACTGGCACTGGTCTGAGGGGTGACCTCTGTTTACACCCCTGCCCTTGGAGCTCCATCCCTGTTAGTCTTTGTGCTGCTGGGTGAGCGGGAGGCTTGCAGGCCGTGGGTCCCACGCGTGGTTGGAAGATGGGTTCGGCAGTGATCCTCTCCTTGGTGGCCGGGGTCTCTGATGTGGAGGTGGCAGGGCGGCCTTAGGAGGGGTTACTGAGCCCGCGAGGGCAGGTGGGTGCCAGGACTCCCCCGAGGACGGGCCGAGTCTGGTCTCGGCACATCAAGACGCAGAGTGTCACGGCTGTCCTGCTCAGCCCTGACAACGGAACGGGGCTGTCGCTCAGACAGAGACCACGACGTGCCAGAGAGGATGGGCTGGGTGGAAGGCGTCAGTCACGAGGGGAGCAGCTAACATCTGTCCCCGAGCCGAACAATGGCGGCCCTTTCTACGCTTACTGCCATGTGACCTTGCCTTGAGCTCAACACTGACCTCCTTGCGGTGCTGGTTTTAGGGCCATTCCCACCGTCCCCAGCCCTGTCATAGGAGTTACCCGTCACTGCACAACTTAATGACGTATCCCCAAACTTAGTGGCCTATGCCCAAGCTTGACGACCTATCCCCAAACTTAGCGGCCGAAAGGAAACACGTATGATCTCACCCTTTCTCCGGATCGGCTGTCCAGGCGTGGCTGAGCTGGGTCTCCCACAGGCTGTCTGGTCAGCTGGAGCTCGTGTGGGGAAGGCTGTGCATCCAAGCCCATGTACGTGGCTGCCGGCCGGCCCGGGCCGTGGAACGGAGGGCCCTGGCTCCTCACTCGTTGTCTTGGCATGTGGCCAGCTCCATAGGGTGGCTCACGACCCCGTAGCTTGCTTCAGGAGAGCAAGCGAGAGAGGAACCGAGGAAAGGATACGTGTCACGGTCTTTCAGACCCTAATCTTGGAAGCGACTTCCCCTACCATTGGCTGTGGTCTTGCACTGGAGGAAGGTTCCCGGTTCCAGCTCACACACAAAGGGAGGGGGTTCCACCAAGCACGTTCCTGGAGGTGGGGCTCCCCGGGGACCTTAGGAGCTCTGCTGACCACACCACAGCCCCTTCTGACTGTCAGGACTCATACATTTGAGTGTCACCTGTGTACCCACCGGGCTGGGCTCGCTGCCCACTCCCCCTTGCGGCCCCTGCCGTCGGCCCAGATCAGGACCTGTTAACCTGAGCTGACCCTTTGACAGGCCGGCCCGGGACAGCGAGGAAGAGGAGGAGGACGAGAGGAGAGGGGGCCGTGGGTGCACTCTCCAATACCAGCACGCCATGGTGCGGGTCTTGACGCAGTTTGTGGCCGAGGCGGCGGACCGCGGGGGGCACCTGGTCCACCTGCTGGGCTCAGACTGGCAGGTGGACATCACGGAGCTGGTGAATGACTTCACGCAGGTGGAAGAACCCCGCATCGCCAGGCTGCAAGGGGGCCAAGTCCTGATTGGCCAGGAGCTCGGCATGACCACCATTCAGGTAAGCAGCGCGCCACGCAGGGGCCCTCTGTATCCCTGCCTCTTCTCTGGCCAGACGAGAACGGTTGGTCGTTGCTCAGGACAACGTCTATTTCTAGAGTGAAAGAAATCGTCCCCCAAATAATGCAAGCGGTGCAATGACGTGACCGGAATCTCGAGATTCCTCGCATGTTGCCTGCATTAATTTGGCAGACCCTGGACAGCTCCTCTGGTCGGGTCTTGTTTGAAAGCCGAATACGCTGTCTGTCTACGCCATGGCGCGTGTTACCATCCTGGGGAGGAGGCTCTTGGCCCGAGCTAGCCTCATGGGAACCGTGGGCATGGTCAGCGGCTTCTCGCTGCCCATCGTCGCGTGGAACAGCTCTCCAACCGCCGTGATGCCCGGCCGTGTGAGGTCCCACCCCAGGCTGGACGAAAAGTGGGGCGTGTCAGAAATGTGCTGAGGAGAGGAACAAAGTTATGTTGCCCCCACGGTGTCAGGGGCACCCGTAGCTGGGAATGAATGGGAGAGGACCAGGGTACAACAAGGGGGTTGGCAGAGAGAGGGAAGAGGCAGAGAGAGAGGGAGAGAGAGAATCCCAAGCAGGCTCCACGCTGTCCGCACAGAGCCCGATGCGGGGCTTGATCCTGCAAACCTTGAGATCACGACCTGAGCTGAAATCAAGGGTCAGGAGCTCAACTGACTGAGCACCCCAGGTATTCCTGCAACATGGAGTTTTGAAACAAACACTCCTCAGGACGCTGTTCCAGGCGGCCCCTTGGGGTTAGTTGTCTACCTCTGGTCTGAGAACAAGCATGGTTCCTCCGTGGCTGCCCCCGATCCCGCTCTTAGCCATTCAGTGGGGTTTCTGACACAGCTGTGTACAAGGAGGCCTTGTCAGGGAAGTATTGGATTGTGCAAGATTTAAAGCATGTCCGTTCTGGAAAATCGGCTGGTATTTAAAAGAGATCATTTTACTCAAGGAAGAAAATAAATGGGTTTGAGGTGACCCAGGGGTCACATGCTCCAGTGACCTCTAAGACCTGAGAAAGTAACTGTGAGCAAAGCAGGCCGGGTGTGAGCTGAAAGACAGCTACTGACTCAGGCCCCCAAGCGCTGGGAACACCGTAGGGGTCGGTGCGGACAGTGGTGAGGGCCGGGCTGCTGCTCATATCCTAAAGCTGCCGACGAAAACTCGACTCTCGTACGGCCAGATGTTGCAGCCTTTCCAGAAAAGCGAGAAATCTTTTTGTAGTAAATCCTCTGATTGTCTTAAGGGTGGCCATTAATTCCGTTTTAAAGTTTTATTTATGTGAAACAAAATATATCTGCCCCGTAGACAAGAGCTCGAAACCTCCACATTGGCGTTTGATTGAAAGATCTAAACCAAAGATCTAAATTCCTGGAGTCTGTCTACAACAGGCTAAATTAATGCCTGGAAACCGGATACACACACGGGGCATTAATCACTCCCCCTAAATGGTAGCGTGGACACAAGAGGAACAGCATTGTGCTCGCGGTTCAGGCGTTACGGAGGGGGAAACGGGCCAGCTTCCCACGTGTTAAACCTGGAGAGTCTTTCCTGGTGGGACAGCCGCTGCTGAGACCCTCTTACCTACTCCCACCGAGTCCTCCTGAGTTATAAGTCCGCTTGTCCGCTTTGTCCTGGGGACTCTTATGTCATGCTGACTGCCATTCAAATTGTCCTCACCAGACCCAGAGACGGAAGGTGGCATGTGGGGGTCCTGGGAAGAGCTGCCACGGTGACACATGTCTTCATAAATATCAGTAACAACAGGCACTGAGAAATGTGTCAGGAGAGCAGGTTAAAGAGGGCTGGGAGGGGCGCCTGGGGGGCTCAGACGGCTGAGCGTCCGACTTCGGCTCCGGTCAAGATCTCACGGTGTGCGAGTTCGAGCCCCGCGTCGGGCTCTGTGCTGACGGCCCGGAGCCTGGAGCTGCTTCAGATCTGTGTTCTGTGTGTCTCTCTCTCTCTTGAAAACAAATAAACGCTTAAAAGTGCATCGTGTTTTCACAAGAGAGCTACGTCTTTTGGAAGAAGACATCCGTGGGAAAGACCCGTTTCTGTCATTCTGGCTCATCCGTCTGTCTCCACGCACATCATTGACGCCAGTGCAGGAGTTCCTGCGACCACAGAAAGCCTTTCCTTCTGTGTTGGTTCTGCCTTTCAGATCCTGTCACCTCTGTCGGACGCCATCTTGGCAGAAAAGACCATCTCCGTGCTGGATGAGAAGGTGACCATCACAGACCTCGGGGTCCAGCTGGTGACCGGGCTGTCACTCTCCCTGCAGCTCAGCCCAGGGAGCAACAGAGCCGTCTTTGCCACTGCGGTGGCTCAGGACCTGCTTCAGAGGCCCAGACAGGTGTGGAGGCGGGGCTGGGGCCACACAGCAGGTGGGGGCACGCGGCAGGCGGGTCGCCCATCAGGCGTGGCTGCCCCTCGGCCAGCAGTGGGGTAGCAGTGCCTCTAGGAGGTGCCCGCGGCCTGCTGCCGAGTCCCCGCAAGGAAGACGGGGCGGCAGGTCTGGGGCGATGGAGGTTCCCTTCACCAGGTTTATAGTTCTCAGGGCAGAAAGACCTCGTGGGGGTGTCAGCCGCATTCGCAACCCGCGTGCTCCAACGGGGCGCTGTGTGTGTACGTGTGCGATGTGTATCGTGCGGTGTATGTGTCTGCGTGTTGATGGCACGGTTTCCAAAAGAAGGGTGCTGCAGATAGGCCATCTGCAAAGGTTGAATGTGCTCCTCCCTCGTTAGAGGGGGGCAAGCATTCTTTTTTAGGGGGAACACGGAGGCGCCGGTGAGCCTTGCGGAGCAACAAAGCCGTGGTCTCCGGCTGTTGATTCGCCCCGTGCCTCGTGAAGCAGGACTGTCCTCCCGCGGGGCTGCGGGGAGGCCGCCAGCCCACGCAGGGGTGTTCCTGGCAGCTTCCCTACTGGACGGGAGCCCCCTCCCCCGCACCCGCACCCGCGGAACCGCCGAGGCTGTGCCCGTGCTCCGAGCCG